AATGGATATCTGTTATCAGTTATCTCCTGTTAATTCCCCTCTCCAAGTTCTCCACTGCCTTAACACGGTATTGAACTGGTACCTGTGTATGAATTTCTGGGTATTATAAACCTAATTTCTTCAACATCAATTTTTACCAGTGCTCATATTGCAATTTTTTCTGTTATCATTGCATATCATACACAGATGTCCTCAAGGACACATGACACAGTGGATAAAGGTGTTAGTTAGATCCAGTGACAGGACTCAAAGAGTTGTGTGTTCAATACCAGGTTAAGGCAGTGGAGAACTTGGAGAGGGGAATTAAGAGGAGATAACTGATAACTGACATCCATTAAACATGGCATGTGTAACTAGAACAGTCTAGACCAGTGAGCAAAATAAAGGGTTCAGTTCGACATTCCAACCACCTGAAGAAGGCCGGAGCGTACAACAGCAGAAATGTTGTAATAAATATGGCGACAAAGATGAGGACAATAGTCCGAATAATGTAATAAATAATGTGTACATAATACCTCATCTCAGAAATATAGACAGATACTGAAGTTAGCTTGTCTCCTTCTTTTTCTATGTGCCTTGTCCCACAAGAAAATGGGTGATCATGGTTCTCCACAATTTCCTATTCTTTTTAGCTCTTAGTAAAATTTGTCTTTTTGCTATCTCTCTAAATCCCTGTTCTACCAGCCAACCATTTACACAAGTTCAGTTTTCTTCTATATGCTTTGTCCGTTTAGAACATGGGCAATTATGGCTCCCCATTATTCAGTCTTCTTCTATGTGATGTGTCCATTCAGGATGTGGTCAGCCATGGCTCTCAACAATTTTCTGTCCTTTCAGCTCTTAGTAAATTTAGTCTTTTTGCTATCTTTTCTAACCACTATTTTTCCAGCCGTTTAAACAAGCTTGTTAGGTAGTATGTTTAGTCTATCCCTGTTACTTTTCAGTGTAAACAGCATAGACAGGAAATCTTCATATTGTTTCTCTCAAGTGAGGAAATATTTCAGGTATTTGGGATTTGAATCTTGAGATTATCCAATTAAATAAAAGAAACTGATAAACTTAAAATCCTGGATTTTTGAAAAGTTTGATTTTAAAGTTAATTTGGCTGTAAAATGCACATTCAGAGAGAGAGAGAGAGAGAGAGAGAGAGAGAGAGTCAAGCAAGCATGACATGTAAGTAAGGAAATACTCATGTTGCAGTGTTATTTATATGCAGGCGTGTCTGTTTTATTATATGAATTGTCCCTGAGGATCATAATAATCCTTTATATCACTTCTGACATTACATTTTATTTTTATCTCTCTCAATGGAACTGGTAACTCTTCTCTATGAAAAGAAGGGTGTTGTTAACTGTATTTTAAGTACAAGCAAGATCCACATACATTTGTGAGACCTTCATCAATGCAAAATATTTAAATTCAGTTTCTTTTTTGTCGATTTTCTATTCATTTTCCTTTATAATTCGGATGTTAGATTTTAACAACGTTTACCTGTAGATTCAAAGATATACCTGACCAATATTTACCTGTAAACTCAAGAATAAACCTGGTCAAGTTTTACCTGTAGACACCAGTAGAAACCCAACCAACAATAAGACTTAAGTACACTCATAACCAATGTTTACCTGTATGAACTCAATCAATGTTTATAAAGTCAAATATAAACATGAACGATATTTATCTGTTTACGAGTTTCATTATGTGAATTAATTTTCATTGAGGGTCATAATAATCCTTTACATGTCTTCTGACATTAAATTTTATTTTTATCTCCCTTGATGGAACTGGTATTATTCTCTATGAAAGGAGGGAAAAAAAAATTATTTTAAAAAGAAGCACAATCCACTTATTTTTGTGGAAGCTGCATCAATGCAAAAAGCCAGAATTTTATTTTTATGTTGACTTTCTAATCTTTTCCCTCATGATTTAAATGTTAGATTTCATAATCCCTTTTCATTTGATCCAACTATTAGACTCGCTTTTCATTCTACGTGTGTTTATCTTGTTGCGAACAAACAAACTCAGTCTTTCTCTTGTCAATGAACATGATTTGGCACCATTTTCTAAATCCTGCTTTGTGCCTCGCAAAGTTAATGTTTTTGATATTCAGCCTATGAATCTCAAGAAGGAAGCAGAGAATAAAAATCAAGTCAGGAAGAGAAAATGGGAAGTGGGGAGAATATCAAGAGGGGAAAGTGCAAGATTTAGGGAGTAATAAAAAATGAGATTAGAATTAAAAAACCAAAAATAGGAAAAAAAGAAATAAATTTAAAAAAAAAAAAAACATTTAAAAATTACAACAAGCAAAGCTAAAAGACAATTTCTTTATGGTTCTGAATAATTTCCACTGATCTTGTAATTTGCACAAATTCAAATCTTTATGCTTCACTCCTTAAGGTCATCATGAATTTCTGCTGAGTACGCTTGTAATTAAAATCATTAAGACAGGCCAGCATTTGTAAATATCAGCTGTTCTTATGCTTTTATCTAATTTAAAATATTATTTTTATTTTTTTATCGCTAGATGTTTGGGAATAAAGAACTAAGAAGAAGAGTCTATTAATTTATTTTCTAGGTTTTTGATGGTTTTGTAGAAAAAGAAAAAAAACACTATGATTAACAGACTTGGCAGTATCAACATTCATTGACATGCACTTTATTGAAAATATTGTAGAAATAGAAAATGCTATAATCCAACAATTTCCATGTAGGAAAGAAGGAAATACAATTCTATTAATGCTTTCAGATTGGGCATTCTAAAAGTATATATAAATATATGCAAAAGTATAAAACAAATGGGAGGGGGAGCAAAGATAGAAAAAAAATATTATAATTATATTGTAGTAGTATGAAAAAATATGATGAGAAATAGAAAAAATAATATTGGGCTAGCCTGTTATCATTCCCCACCCTTCAGAGACAATTGTGGCCAAAAATAAATAAGTGCTGCCATTTCTGCAACAAGAACGTGTATTTATTTATATATTTCCTGTCCCATCTGTAGTGGAAAAGAAGGTACATCTACTTATTAATAAATTTATGAGTGATTACTTCCTTTAGTCATTTTAATAATCTATACAAATAAAATAATCATCTGCATTTAGGCAAAATTAGTTCCTGAGCAAAAGAAATCATTTAATTAATCAGTTTGTTTATTCCTACATATCTTAGATTGCAGTCTTATTTGTTCAAGCCTTTCATATGAGGTACTCACACAATTTGTCTATTAAGTGATTGTCTTACTTCAACTTGGTCTTGAAATAGACTTTGACGTCCCTGTCTTTGTCGTTCTGTTGCTACCTTCCAAGAGATATTTCCATTTCACCATTATATTAAACAAATAAAATTTTTAACATGAAAAGATATTGAACAAGAAGTGATATATATAATACTAGGAGTAATCAATGAATCATAGATACCATTGTTAGAAAGTATAAAATTATGTACAAAATACCTGTAGTTGAAAGCATAAAATTACATACAAAATATTTAGATTTCGGCATTAAATAATCCATAGAGGTGTTGATGTACCACCAAACAAATCAACCAACCAAACAACTAAAATGAAAGAAACCTTCTATGAAATTAGTACATATAATATTCTACAATTTCTTAAAGAAATCAAATGGAACTACCTCTTAATTGCTGTTGTCCCCAGGTCCACCACGACTAGGGGTGGTAGTACCTGTTAGGGTCCCAGATATGGGCAAATACTGAATCCCAAAACAAAAACTAAATACTATGAAAGTATAAAAATACATATTAATAGTCAAAATACCAGCAGTACTTTTTTGTATAAAAAATACATTTTTACAATAGTAAAATTACCAACAATGCATCAATGAAGACAAAAGAAGTAAACTGTGGAATACCACTAAAAAAAACAACCAACATGAAAGAACTTTTTTGACACACATATCATCATCTCTAATAATGTCCATACAAACATGTATATGTAAAAAAGCTGAGTATCGTCTACCATGTACTCAATTGTGAAAGTAGAATAATGTATATCGTATTTTTATTACTTCAAAGCTCACAAGAAAATTAAATTTTGGCATTAACTGGTCTATAAGGAGTTGATATGATGCTAAACACACAAATTAACCAATTAATCAACATCCAGCATTGTGATGAAGTGAACAGAAACCATATGAAGAATCCGCTGTTGTTTTCTTCACTCAGAACTTATCAGTTCCTGCTGATTAGTTACTATTGCCGATACTAAAAACAGTGTTTCTTCGATGTTCGCTATTCAAATAATTTTGATACCTGTGTCTTGCCATGAACCCATCAAACAACAGGTGTACCTCCAAAAAGGAATTTTACTTAATATTGGTCGAGATGCACTGCTCAGCTAATCCTGTTCAGTTTCCCAACATTTTTGTTTTCATTTTTTTTATCACTGCTGCCTTTAAATATCTCACAGATGGCCTGATGATGCTCTTAAAGAGTGAAATGCTGACAACAGAACAAAAACTTTAAACATCCAACTGGTTTTCATAAATTCCATCTGACACTTTGGTCTCGATATGTGATCCATCACGATAACCTAGCTCGATTACCTGTGCATTTATTTTTGAGCAAATTGGAATCCATCTTCAGAGTGTTGCCATTTTGTTTTCTGCCGGTAGAATAATTATGAAGAAGGACATGATAAATTTGTAGGGACACATTCTCTTTTATTTATTTAGCATGCATTTCAAACATCATTTGCCAATGCAGAGAGACAAATAACACTGATATGATCTGGTATGTGGGGAGAGGTCATTACACACATATATATATATATATATATATATATATATATATATATATATATATATATATATGCTAAGAATAATTTGTTATTTTACTTTGAGCTCTGTGTTATTATTACTATCAACACTCAATGCAGTATTTTATATTTATATTTGCATATATATATAAAGGGATAAGTAGGTAGGTAAGTGAGCAAATAAATAGATAGATACAAAGAGACTGATAGATAGATGTAGAAATTATCTGATAGATAGATAGATAGATAGATAGATAGAAAATGGACTGAGATAGATAGATAGATAGATAGATAGATAGAAAATGGACTGAGATAGATAGATAGATAGATAGATAGATAGATAGATAGATAGAAAAATGGACTGAGATAGATAGATAGATAGATAGATAGATAGATAGATAGAAAGAAAATGGACTGAGATAGATAGATAGATAGATAGATAGATAGATAGATAGATAGATAGATAGATAGAAAATGGACTGAGATAGATAGATAGATAGATAGAAAATGGACTGAGATAGATAGAAAATGGACTGAGATAGATAGATAGATAGATAGAAAATGGACTGAGATAGATAGATAGATAGATAGATAGATAGATAGATAGATAGATAGATAGATAGAAAATGGACTGAGATAGATAGATAGATAGATAGATAGATAGATAGATAGGTAGATAGAAAATGGACTGAGATAGATAGATGAGAGATAGATAGATAGATAGATAGATAGATAGATAGATAGAAAATGGACTGAGATAGATAGATAGATAGATAGATAGATAGATAGATAGATAGATAGATAAAGAAAAAACTTAGATAGATAGATGTGTATACAGATAGATATATGTTATGAAATGGATTAATTCCGACAATTATTTAATGTATTTTCTGTTTATATGTTAGTTTTCTAGATATAATTTATTTAAGTAAATACTCTGTCTTTTAATTAAACAGTATTAATTACATTTACCAGTCTGAATGTTTAAGAAAGTTTTTAGAAAATATGTACTATCTGATAAGAATTGAACCTGTAACCCTCATGGAAACTGTCATTTGATCTGACGTGCTGTTAACCATTCAGCCACAGAGAAGTGTCTGGCTAGCAAAGTCTGAATTACTGTTTATAAACACATGATGATGATTTTTCTCAATTGATTATTTCTGCTTACAAAACATATCTTAACGTAAACAATGACAACATATGAAATATATTAAGTCTGATAATTATATTATATATTTTCTGATTATGTAAACATTTAATCCGACAATTATTTAATATATTTTCTGTTTACATCAACAAAATTTCTTGCTACTATGTAAGTGACATGACAGCTGGGAAAGTCAGACCTGGTGAAACTAGGAGATGCTGTGCATCTGAGCACTTTCCATGGTAGTAGTGATAGAGTAGTGAGAGACTTGCCACATCCCACCTGTGAGAGAGAGGTTGAAGTGTGGAAAATAATTGTTCCCCGACAAGGACTCAGAGGCACTTTTGAACTCTATCAAGACTGGAAAGTGAGGTCTGGGTAGCTCCTGCCTAAATATGGCAACAGTACTCAGTTTTAGGCCTGATATGGCTCTTATAAAGGCAGAGGATAGCATGAAGAGTCAGGTACTTACTGGAGCGGTACAAGAAGCTGATTATTTTACCTGCACCTTTAGCAATGGATCATGTGTAATAGTTCTGTTTGCTACTATGTAAGTGGCATGGTGGGTACTAGAGGTGAAGGTTAGACCTTGCAGAATCAAAGAATGTAGTTCCATGTAGAAACTCACCACATCTCGCCTGTGAGAGAGAGGTTAGTGAGTGGAAAATAATTCTTCTCCGACAAGAACTTGGAGACACTTTTGAATTCTATCAAAACTGGAAAGTCAGGACTGAGGAGTACCCACCCAAATATGGCAACAATACTCCAATTTCATCCTGATCTGGCTCTTATAAAGATAGAAGATAGCATGAGGAATCAGGTACTTATTGGAAAAGTACAGGGAGCCGAATATTTTACCTGTATCTTTAGCAATGGATTGTATATAGGGATTCAACTTGAGACCAAGTGTGAATTTAAGGCCCAATATCCTCTCAAGACACAGGGCCTCTTGAAGGGGACATCTGTTCATCATGACTGGTGGTTGTTCAGGGTCTGGTCGGCAGTGATGGAATATAACCAGGTTGGTTTTAGAGGCATTCAATGTCACCAGCCATTTTTTTTCCACTGGGAAGTTAGTGTTAGATTGGAAGAGAAGTCAGTTGCCTATCTCTGATTGTCAAGACTTTTAAAGGTGTTCTCATATATCATTGTAGCATTGGCTTAGACATTTGCAAATGATCAGTGTATGTTCTTTTATGTAAATCAGAAAGGGGTTTGGTCCAAGAAGTGACCCTTGGGGGATGGATACCTGCATTGATTGCCAGAGTCTCAGAGGACTGGTCATTAATAAATACCTTCAGGGATCTACCTGTTAGGAGGAATTTTATAATAGAGAAAACCCTTTGAGTAATTCCATAGCTGGAGACCTTGTGTAGCAAACGTTTGTGCCACACCTTGTTGAAGGCCTTCAAGATATCTAATGTTATGGTCCTTGTGGTATGTGTGTTGTCAACGGTTTCAATAATTATGTGTGTAATAGTAGTTAGGATGTCAGCAGTGGATCAGGCTGATTGAAACGCATACTACTCGTCACACAAGAAGTTGTTCCTATCCAGGTGTTCGATGACCTTGTTGATTAAGGTCTCAAAAAGCTTACTAATGATACTGAAGATACTAATGGGTCTATACTGGGAGGGGGGATCGGTTGCATGTATTCTTGAAGACCTGGCATATGCTTACCACCTTCCATGTGCTTGGAAAAGATTTATCTTTCAAGCAGACGTTAAATAATTTTCCTTTCATTCATTTTCCCTTTGTTGAATTTCTTTCCTTCTTACACACTTTCTCTCTTTCATTTTCCTTTTGTTGAATTTCTTTCCTTCTTACAAATTTTTTCTCTTTCATTTTCCTTTTGTTGAATTTCTTTCATTCTTACACATTTTCTCTCAAATGATGTGGCATGTAGAAGAATTTGGCTTCTGGCCTACAATATATATATAGATATAGATATAGATATTCATGGCTCTGCACAAATTCCTACCTTCTGTGGCTCTTAACAGTTTTTGTTCCCTTTGCTATGCCCCCACCCCCATTCTGCCATCCATTCCCACAAGCTTGTCAGGTAAGTGCCTTGCGGCCTTCTTCATATCTCTAGTGCGCAATATACCTTGTGAGGGTTCAGTTTTCCAAGCACTCTTTTCTCATTAGATGTCCAACAAATTTCAGCAGTCTTTTCCTGATTTTGAGCATAAGTCTTTTTTTTTTTTTTTTTTGCCATTTTCTTTAAGACTTCCTCGTTGCTTACTCTCTCCGTTCATGGAATTCTCAGTATGTAGACGTCAAACGACTTACCTACCAACATGGCTGCCTTCATGGAAAGAAAAGCCAGCTAATCTACCTCATTTATAGGAGAGCACCTAATGCAGCAGGTGGGTAGGTCCATTTTGCTGGAATGGACCTACCCAACACATTTGCATGAGTGGACTCTAATCACCCATATATCTCTCTATTAAATGACTCAGGGATGCATTTTAGCTTGAAGTGACTACACCAGTCTACTTGTGTGTCAGACCACTTGCAAGCCAACCAGTATTCTACACAGTATCCTTCTGTAGAACTACATTTTGGATTCTTCTAGTTTTTTCCTTATCCTTAGGTATTTTTTCAAACTTTACTGCTATGCAACTGTGTGGATACCACATAGCAATTTTGTTTGCCACTGCTTTTAGTCTAATTAGGAATTAGATGCTCTTGTAACGGGGGTGCTCTTGTAACGGGGGTGCTCGGAAGAATGATTTATCCCCTCTTTTACTATTCTCCCATTATAGGAATTGATATATATAACAACATCATAGCTCATAGACAGGACAAAATGGAATAGCTGAAAAGAAAAGGAATCACAAAAATGCTTTATTCTCAGAGAGACTTTTATATTAAGCCATAGACAAAACACTATATATACATATATGTGAAAAGTGTGTGTATATAAATATATATATATATATATATATATATATATATATATATATATAATATATTATATATATTATTATTTATTATATGCATGGTACTTATTAGAAAGCGCTCTATATCAGAGATAGAGCAAACATATTTGGTTGGATTGATGTGAGTTTGTGACTTTGGGTTTCACTCTTTTGTGATCGTCAGACAATTTTTAAAAAATTTGAGGTTTATGTAGATTGTGTGTATTGGTGTTATTATGGAAGTGGTGGGGGAATCGCCATCATGATGTCACTCATGCTAACATATATATATACACATGTCCTACATGGAGAACTATGAAGAAAAATTTGGAAAAAACAAAAATCCTTAAATGCAATTATGTTGTTTAAAATGAATGACGTCGACATTTCATTCATTTTAAACAACATAATTGCATTTAAGGATTTTTGTTTGTTTTTTCCAAATTTTTCTTCATTCTGTCGGATCTATATCCATTTACATTTGCTTACATGGAGAACTATATATCACACATATCTACACAGCAAAGCAAAGTATAAGAATTTACAAAAAGGAAAAGTCTTACACGTAATTTGAGGATACTTCTGACGTGGGGAAGCCATTTTTAGAACTCCAGATTTAAAGGGGATGGATTCATCTATGTCCCAAAGAGAAACAGCACCATGCGCTTGTAAGCTACTGGGAAAGCAGGGTTAGCCTGATCCTTGTTCCTTTGGCCTAGGGTAGAATGAAGCAACCTTTTCATTTTGTAGCTGTTCACAAACTGAAAAAATGACTGCAGCATTGGTCACTGTATGGAGTGAAATCATGAAGCAGCTGTTATGAGACTTATCGCCATCAAAGGGAGATAAGTGCCTTCTGTATCCTTACAAGACTCTCCTCCTAAAAAGTTTCGCAAAGCTGTCATGAGCATCCACTTTTAAGAATCTCTAAAAATCAGCATCCAAAATGAGAAAAGAAAAGTAAAAATCAAAAAAATGAGAGAAAAGCAAAAGTAAAGAAAGAATCTCTAAAAAACAGAGAAAAGGAAAAGTGAAGAAAGAAAAAATGCAAAAGGAAAAGAAAGAATCTCTAAAAAATCAGCAAAAATGAGAGAAAAGGAAAAGTAAAGAAAGAATCTCTAAAAAAAAGCAAAAATGAGAGAAAAGGAAAAGTAAAGAAAGAATCTCTAAAAAATCAGCAAAAATGAGAAAAAAAAAGAAAGAAAGAATCTCTAAAAATCAGCAAAAAAGAGAAAAAGAAAAGTAAAAAAGAATCTCTAAGAAAAAAAGCAAAAATTAAAGAAGAAAGAAGTAAAGAATCTCTAAAACAAAACAGCAAAATGAGAGAAAAGGAAAAGTAAAGAAAGAATCTCTGAGAAAAAAAGCAAAAATGAGAGAAAAGGAAAAGTAAAGAATCT